TTAAATCAATTTCTAATTGATTTCTAAATTTGGTAAATTAACTTCTCATTGGTATCTAATTTTGTTTCACCATTGTTTATTAAATATTATAGTCCATCTGTTTTTCTCTTTTTTTTTTTGTAAAATTCAACATCAATAACAACAACAATAACTCCAATAATAACAATAATAATGCCTTGCTACAGTCTTCCAAAAAATGTTCATCATGTTCACTACAATGGCAATAATGCTTTGTATGAGGCCTTGGAGGTAGTCTAAAATAAAAATGGGCAGTGAATATTTGCTTTAAACTTTTTTTTTCTTCTTCTCTTCTTTTTATTTTTTTTGTATAAAGTTAATAAAATTTTTATAGCTTAATGTGATTAGTGGGCTTGCAAAGAAGGAAAATTCAGAGTTTAGAAAAAGAGTTGGAGGAGTTGAGGGAAATTGCGATCACAAGAGTGCAGGATGTGTGGATGATAGAGCAGTGATATAAACGGTTGTTGGACAAGAGAAATAGGTTGAGGGCAAGGTTGGCAAATGATGAGTAGGACTTGAGAAGATTAAGGGTAGAAGAAAGAAGAAGAAAAGAGGATAATAATAATAGTGATAGAATGTCAGGTGTTGGTTTCTAAGTTATTATTTATATATATATATTATTTTTTTTTTGTCTTAATAAAGGATATAAAATATTTTATTATAAAATAAAATTTATAATGATGAATAATAAAATAATAGGTGTTTAAGAAATTTAAATTCAATAGGCTCCTAGATACTATAAGAGTTGAATAGGTTCATGTTTGGAGTCGTCACCTATTATCCTTTCTGTATTGGTCAGGCATAACAAAATTGTTTACCCTTTACAAGAATTATTAGACACTAAAACTTAGAGATATTCTAAGACATAACCAGAGGAAGAAATACAAATAGCCAGACTGTTAACAGCTATATATGGCCTTTAAATTTCAATAATATAAAGCTAGTATTTTGCCAGAATACTATTCACGAACATAGCAATTACTTTATATTATTTACAAGAAAGAAAATACTATAACTAATAGGATATATAAATGGGGTATAAATAAGTATAATATAAGTAATGTTCAAAAAAGTCATCTCTTTTAGTATTTCAGAACATAACAGAATCTAAAAGAAATAAGAATTCTATAGATTACATAGTCTAATTCGGATATAAAAATTTTTCAAATTTTCTGTCTATATAGTACAGTAAATTGTTCTAAATTATTTTTAAAAGTTAGTTTAAAAATTAGTTTGGTACTATGTAACAGTGTCTTGGGTTCTTAAGTAAGGCTGTAGAGCAACTTCTAACGATTTTAACAGTAGTTGAAACGTTAAAATTGGTCCAATAGATAATTTTCTATGTTGATTTTAAGAAATCCAAAATGTTTCTTTTCTTTCTTTAATCCTTCTTTAAAGTCTCTTTTTATAAGAACAAAAAAGACTGTCACTTAATTTACGAATCGGAGTAGCATTTTCTTACTAAGATAAGTTTAGTATAAAAGATGTAGAATTCTTCAAAAAGATTGTCCTTAAAATTTCAGATCGATTGCAACAATATTCATCGACTTTTACTAGTCAAACCTATTTTTCTAGAACCTTTCTTTAGGTTCACTATTATTTCTCTCAGAATTACTAATTTTTCACTAAGCACAGTACTTATTACTCGCCAGTACCAGGCTATGTTCATGACTTACAGGTCCCTCAAATATAGTAATTCAAACTAATTTACATTAAGAAGACTATAACTAAAAATAAAGAATAAGACTACAAGTAGTTCTAGACAACTATTCATTCTAAGGTCTTAAAGAAATACTATTTAACATATATCCAATAACTATATATTATATCTATCTAATAATAATTTTTTTTTTATTTATAAATTTTGTAGTTTAAAAACTTCAAGTTATGCTATCGGTCTAAATCTCTTGAATTAATTTAAAAGATTCTTTTAAGTTATCATTCTTTTTGAAAGAATTTATTCAAGAAAAGTGTCTATTTAAGGTATGAGTATTTGAATGATATGTTTTTGAATATGTATAAATAACTTTAATAGATATTCTTTAAAGTTAAATTGTTTGTATTATCAATTTAGAAACTATTTGTTATAATGTAACACTTATGCTTTTATTTCTAAATTCTAATTTTTCGAAATCGATAAATATCTCTTTAATTTATTATGACAATAGGTTTTGTCACTTAAGAGAAAGTTGTAGAGGGAGTCCTTCCAGTCCTAAAGGAGATCAAAACGCTAAAATTGGTCTAGTGCTTGCTGAGATATGGACGTTTAAAGTCTGTGTTACAATAGTTGAAATGTTTCTTCAAAAAGGGTTTCTTGCAAATTCTTTGTAGATCAAAAATATTGTCACTACTTTGATGTTGAATAGCGGATTCCAGAAGAATTTTCTCACTAAGATATGTTTAGTAGAAAAGATGCGTAAGGTTTTCAAATGTATACCTTCAAATTTCAGATTAAACAGATCAATATTGACAGAGTTTCCTTATGACTAACTAAAATCAATTATCTTCAGTAAATTGAGAACTTATCTCACAGTCATCACTAAAATATTAATCTGTAGTTTTTTCTTTAACCACAGCAATAACAAAAGCTGCTCAACTATAGTATGATGACTATAACTTGACAGGTTCTATATAAAGTCTACACAAGACTTAACAAAATACAGAGTGATTTGGGATTTTAAGACAGAGGCAACAATAAATAGTATATGAAGATACTAAATATTGTATTCAGTTTATTAACTATGAAATGTATGAAGACACTTTCTATTGAAGTGTATGGAGACACTTAACTTTCTTGAAGGGTCAGAAAGTAGTACTTTTATAGATATTTTATATTGTAAGCCTGATTTTTTGGGATCACGGATGCCTGAATCGGGGTGATGATCCTTACCTGATCCAAGGTCATGTGAAAAGTAACAGAAATATTACTTATAGCACTTATGATACTTATGGTACTTATGGCACTTATGTCACTTCTGTTACTTTGGCCATATATACGTTAAATGGCATATTGGCCTTTTATGACATTTAGTGAATATATAGAGTATCTGGCATTTATGACATAAATTGATTACGAATATAAATAAACCATTTATTATAAATAAAGGGCATTTCTGCCTAGGAGAGAAGAATAATGATCTCTTCCCTTAAAACAAACAAATTCTCTAATAACAATAAATACCCGCCCCCTAATAAAGTAAAAATATCACTATAGACAAACTAATAAACTATCATTAATTCTATCCCTAACCTAATTGTTCGTTCATAAACCATCACTAAACCCACTGTTGATTGCTCGTCGCAAGTCACGTGCCCAAACTGTTAACATAATAGAGAAAGTTCCAACCTTGATTCGACGAAAGTAATCCCGAGTTAAGGCATACAAGAGAAGACAAGAGAAGACAAAAGTTAATATAAGAATCAGTTAAAGGAAAGACTTGAGAGAGAAGACTAGTACTTACCTACGGATAAACCACCTGCCAAATCTAACATGCCTATTTCGACTTAGCTGCCATAGGTTATGCGAGAGTTGGATTAGAGTAGCAACTGAATCGCTGATTCTGAAATTACATTTGGTGGTGACTGTGAGATACGAAAAGAATTAGTGTTTAGAAATGAGAAGAATTTTAGCATACTTACTCTAGAAGACAAAAGAATGAACAATACTTACTTGCTACCAATGTTCAAACAACCCCGAAGACAAGTTAAAGCCTAAAACTCGAAGAGACAAATGTTGCAAGCCCGATAGAACCCCCAATCGACTAGACGAAGCCCCCAACGAAAACTTTGGTGCTCCTATTGTAGAGTAACAGGCCATGTCATTAGTAAGTGCCCGCACATGGCCCTCTTGGAAGAGAAGTGTGCTGCCTTTTTTGCTACACTTAATGAAGAGCAAGCTGATGAAGTCCAAGAAATATTAACGAAGCCTTTGGAAATCATCAGCTTAGTGATAATCAAATTCCTCATGCCCTTGAGTTCTTGCTGGAAATATTGGAAGACAAATTTGAAGATGTCAAGGAGGGGAAAAAAGATATTATATACCTACCTATATATGAAACCGTTCTTCACAATTGTTCATACCCTATACCCTGAAAAGATCATTCCACAAAGACCCAAGAAGAACCCATCATATACCTACCCTTGTATATTAAAGTATTTGCAACTCTTGCTTCCTATAATTATTCTCACTATATATGATGTCAAGAAAACATTCTTTTCTCCAAGAGTCTAAAACAAACCTCTGAAATTCGTCCAGCTAAGCCCTGCAAACAAAAACCAACCAAAGTTCTTGAATCAGATTCTATCTCAGAGGTTTCTAGCAATGACAATAAAAGAGAAGACCTAAAATGAGAGCAAGATGTTAAATTAGGTACTAAAGTGGCATTAAAAAAGTTGACTGATGATTACCTTGAAGGCCAGAAGTTTTGGTCACCTGAACCCAAGTTTACACCTAATGGATGAAATAACCTTGAATATTGTCTTGGAATTAGAGTTGAAAAGGCTAAACAAGAACCTAGTAAACAAGTGAAAGACAAAGATGGCTTAGAAGATGAGTTAGAAAACTTAATCGACAGCTACCTGGAGACTCTAAAGACCTGGACACCTAAACCACATGTTCACTATCAAAAATCTGCAGAAATGAAGAATGTTGATGGGGCATATAATGTTGGATATTATTATGAAAAAGGAATCGAAGCTGAAAATGAAGAACATGAGGCACCCTCTTATTATCAAAAACTTGACGATACGGAAGACGAAAAAGAAGTGTTTAGAAGGCCTTCTAAGATCGCAGAAGAGAAATCCAAACCTGATAATGATGAAGCCGAAAATGGTGAAACTAACAAAAGTAATGATGACAATGATAATGAAAATGATAATGGAATCAGAATCAAAAAGGATGACCATAAAGCCTTCGAATACTCCCAAAAATCTGCAGAGATGGAGAATGCTAATGAAACAAGAAAAGTTGAACCTTGTTATCAAAATAGAATTAGGGTAAAAAAAGATGAACATAAAGCCCAGGGGCATTGTTATCAAGAGGAATTGGTGTTGATAAGAATGAACACAAGGAGTTCAAGTATTATCAAAAAGCCACAGACATGGGTCATGCTGATGGATTATTCAGTATTAGAGTTTGTTATCAAGACAGAACCTGTGTTGAGAAGAATGAACATAAGGTTGGATATTTTCTGAAATCTGCAGACATGGGTTATGCCGAAGGAACATGTAGTATTGGTATTTGTTATAAAAATAGAATTGAAGTTGAAAAGTACAGCTGCCAAGTATTGAATGATGATAATGATGATGATAATAATGATGATAGTGACAATGATGATCGTGATGATGATGAGAATGGTGATACGATATATGATGACGACGAGAATAGTGATACGATATATGATAATGACAACTATGGAATTGGTGTTGAAAAGGATAAGCATAAAGTTTTTGGACGTTGTTATTGAAATGGAATTGAAGTCAGAAAGAATGAACATAAAGCCATTGAACCCTATCAAAAATCAGCAGAAATGAAGGACACTAATGGAACATATTGTGCTGGTTCTTATTATGAAAAAGGAATTGAATTTGAAGAGGAGGCCGACAAAGTCAAAACAATGCTGATTGAACCAGAGCTGCCACCAACGAAAGAAGATAATGACATAGAAAGAGAACCTAAAGATAAAATGCAGAAGAAAGAAGTTAGTAAGATAGGTCAAAAACAGAAAGACAAAGAACCAGAAGAATACTTTCCTCTCGATCTATGAACCCACTACCGAAGCATGGATTTAGAGTCTCTGTGGCGTATTTGTTTATGCATGGTATGCATAAACTAAGTAGAGGAGAAATGTGATACTGATTTTTGGGATCATGGGTGCCCGAATCAGGGTGACGATCCTTACCCGATCCAAGGTCATGCAAAAAGTAACAGAAATGTTACTTATAGCACTTATAGTACTTATGGTACTTATGGCACTTATGTCACTTCTGCTACTTCGGCTATATATGCGTTAAATGGCATATCAGCCTTTTATGACATTTAGTGAATATATGGATTATCTGGCATTTATGACATAAATTAATTATGAATATAAATAAACTGTTTATTATAAATAAAGGGCATTTCTGCCTGAAAAAGAAGAATAATGATCACTTTCCTTAAAACAAACAAATTCTCTAATAACAATAAATACCTGCCTCCTAATAAAGTGAAAGTATCACTATAGACAAACTAATAAACTATTGTTAACCCTATCTCTAACCTAATCATTCATTCATAAACCACCACTAAACCTGCCGTTGATCGCTCACTACAAGTTATGTGACCAAACCGTTAACATAATAAAGGAAGTTTCAACCCTGATTCGACAAAAGTAATCCCGAGTTAAGGCATACAAGAGAAGACAAGAGAAGACAAAGGTTAATAGAAGAATCGGTTAAAGGAAAGACTTGAGAGAGAAGACTAGTACTTACCTATGGATAAACTACCCACCAAATCTAACATGCTTATTTCGACTTAGTTGCCATAGGTTACATGAGAGTTGGATTAGAGTAGCAACCAAATCGCCAATTCCAGAATCACAACATGTATAAATTATTACAATAAAGACTACTCTATTGCTAATAAATGCTATTTATAGTAATAAAAACTAATAGGTATAATAGAAATAATATATATAATAGATATAGTATATATAATAGAAATGATAGAAATGATAGATCTAATAGAAATGTAATATCTGTAATATCTGTAATATCTATAAGATCTGTAATATCTGTAAGAAATATAAGATTTCTGGCACAGTAATTTGGGCCAATCAGAATCAAGTCACATGTACTAGAATTAATGCTTTCATCAAAATTGTACTGATCTCGTGATCCCATAATTAGAATCATATGATCTTGTTTTCGTTAGAATCGTCTCAGTGAGCTGAATCCAATGATGGTTGTTTCATCCAAATTAGTTCGGTTCATCAAAAGTTATGGTCAAAAATGTGTAAAACTCTTAATGTTAACAATATATATACATGCATACATACAGATATTGATATAATATACTTTATTTAGATTGAAGTTAGTTATCAAAAGAGATAGCAGAAGACTAATCTGATTTATTTGAACTGATTAATATATCTTTTACCAAGTCTGTTACTTTGCATCAATTTTTAGTTTATATATATAGTTTATTCAAAGATTTAATTATAGATAAATTAATCACTAATAATATTTTACTAATGCTAGGTTGTGTATACAATCTTTATATTAAAAAAACTTTAGTTACAGATAGGTTAATTGGATTTGTTACAGATAGATTGAACATAAGTGTTACAGATAGGTTATTAACTATAAGTGTTATAAATAGATTAACTATAGATGTTACAAATAGATTAACTATAGATGTTACAAGTGGATTAATAGCATATGTTGCAAGTTAACTGTAAGTATTGCAAGTAGGTTAATCATAGACATTACAAATAAGTTATTTATAGATGTCTTTATATTTTTAGCAAGTTTATTATCAAATTTTGTAGCTATTGTATTGGCAAAACTGAAAATTTTATCAGATTTATTAGAAGAATCATCTTTTTAGAAAACTTTAAAAGTGTTAACAGTATTGATTAACATTTTCTGATAACTAGCAAAAGTTATATTTTTAACATATAAGTAATTTTTATTATTATGTAAGATAAATTTATTGTTAATATAAAGAATCAAAATTTTTTTATAGTGAAACTTATGTAAATTAAATAAAATACAAATATTAAGTAGTAACATTCTATCTTAATATCATTTTAATATTGATCTATATAATCAACCATCACAATAGTATAAATATGTTTTTGTTATCAATGTTTAGAGGATTTTAAATCATTGCAATTATACTAATGAAAACTAAAAATTTTAAATAATAATTTATCTCTAGATTAAGATATACAAGATTACTTAAAACAATCTGTAAGTATATTTATAAATTTGGTACAAATAAAAAAAAGAAACAAATTTATCAAAAATAAATTTTATTTTATAAAAATACATATATTACAAAAAAGTAAATCTAAACCAATTTTCAAGACAGAAAGCTTTTTATTTTTTTTATTTATATATTTAATGACATGAAATTTTCAAATAACAAGAATCAATTTTTCTTTTTTAATCAGGAAAAGACTAAATTCTTGAGTCATATTTTAAGGATAAAACCTTTTTAAAAAGATTTTTAAAAGCAAATTTAAACTTTAAGATTTTATAAAATCCAAATCTTCAGCTATATAGATATTTTTGCTAGATGTAATTTAACAATTAGTTATAAAACAAAGTACAGTAATAGTATTTATTATATTTTTTTTATCATTGAAATTAGATAACAAGAAGTCTATTTAAGAAGACCCAAATAAAGAGGTAGCTGGATTTTTGATGGCCCTACTGTAAAGGCTAGCCTGAAAAAATGGATACCAAGGTTATAGTACCTGGTCATAGTAGTCAGATGGGCAAGAACCTCCAGGTTGAGAGTCTTAAAAGTACTACTATCAGACTGCCAGAATGAACTAGAGAAAAAGGATATTAGGCTAATCTTATATACTGATGAACTGGTTATAGTTCTACACAGGCTATCTGAATTGAAAGTTTGATACAAAGATAGATAAAAAGGCAAAGATATACTAAAGTATTAGGGTTATGCTATAAAATAGATACTAAGATCTAAGTAAACTCTATAAGAGCATAGCAGTTTAATGCTTAAGCCCTAACTACAAGTATTAGTTATATTATAGTAATATCTAGGTTAGCTATAAAAATAGGTACAGAAGGCTTTGAAAAATTTATCTTGAAGATAAATTAGTTCTAAAGTTGAGATGATGATTTAGCATCAGGTATGATCTAGTAAAGTTAACAAGTTTGCAAGTTCTAAGAATTTAAAGTGAAATATCTAAGCAGAGGTATTAGATATAGCAATTGATAGAGACCTTTGGGTAGACTCCTTAAATAGGTAATATAGAAAAGTTAAACATGTAGCTAATTGTATACTCTTTCTGTAATAGTTTACTGAACCACATTTATTATTGTTAAATAAAGTCAAAAAATCCAAAAGGTTATCTTAATACAAAAAAAAAATTTCAAGATTAGTCTAATCCTGAAATTTGATTAGCCAAATTGTAAAATTTTTTATAAAGTTAAATATTTATTTACATATATTTTTGAGCATTTAAATATGTATATATTTAGAACAAATATTTTTTGTTTTGTTTTAGTTTTAACTTTAATACTGTTACTTTATTGCATTAAAACTATTAGTAATTATACTTTAAAATTAATGGATCTTATAAAGCCTTTTTGCAGTCTTACTAAAATCTATTACAGATATGTGAGATCTAACATAAAAGCAATTAGAACAAATAATTAATCCTTGATCTGTTATTAAAATAATTTAAACATAGTTAAGAATAAGAAAAAGTATTTTTAATAATATGTATTACAATTTGTTTAAGATAGTAATATTAAATTCTAATACATACCTACATTAAAAATAATTCAGAGATTGGATGAATAATTTAAAAATTAGCATAGGGTGTACTTTTGGTCTTATAGACTAAGATAATTTAGCAATTGGCAAAATAATTTGTATCTTGGCTAATAAGTATTAAGATTTTTTAAAACTTTGAAAATAGTAATTCAAATAACAATATTTACAATTAGTTTTTTAATATTTTTTGTAAATACACATAAATTATTTGATTAAGTTTTTAAAAGCTATATATAATATTTATAAATTTAATGCATATATAGCTTATTTTAAATATATATATATATTTTTATATATATTAATAAAAAATTTTTATACTTATCTATAATATGTAAATTAATGCAAATAAAAAAAGTTAAATATATATTTTGGCAGCTAAAATTAGTCTTATGTAATGTCAAAATTATAGCTATCATTATTATTCCTAGAACATCTTGTAAAAAACTAATCAAATAACTATTCTGCTGATTTAGTAAGTTATTAATTTTAATAATATTTATTATTTACAAAAATGATTTAAAGCCAGATATGTATAGTCATTAGCAAATTAATGCCTGATTTTGATCTTGTAACTAATACTTAAATAAATACATATTGCTTACCTCCTTATAGCAATTTGTGAAGCAAATTTTTTTTTTCTTTTTTTAACTTTTCATAAAATGCCTGCAAAAAAAACAATAAATATAGGTTTTGCATATCAACTTTATACAAACAGACAGTCAAATTCATACAAACAGACAATCAAATTCATACAAACAAACAGTCAAATTTGTACAAATTGACAGTTAAATTCAATATAACACTTTTAATTAAATTGCAAATCTTGTAAACTAGTAATTTAAATTATGTAAATTTGGTACCATTTGATTTGTCAAAATTAGATAAATCAAATAGCATCAAATTTATATAATTTAAGTTACTAGGTTATCAGATATTGCAATTTAATTAAAAGTGTTATATTGAATTTAACTGTCAATTTGTACAAATTTGACTGTTTGTTTGTATGAATTTGACTGTCTGTTTGTATGAATTTGACTGTCTGTTTGTATGAAGTTGGTATGCAAAATCTGTATAATATAAGCATGACTGGCATTTTAATAACAGACAAAGACAAAGAAGAAATCCTAGCTTATATTAAATATATGAGTGCTTAGCAAGTTGTATAGGAAATAAGATATGACTTTACTACAATTTGAAGGTTTTTTATCAAGTATCAGAGAACCAAGAATATATCAAATTTGCCAAGGTTTGAAAAACCTATGCTTTCAATGATCAAAAAAAAAATGCTCTAGTGAAAGCAGCCCTAAAAAAGAGATGCAAACCTTTGCATGAACTTGTAAATGATTTAATGCTTGAGTGCAGTTTAAGAACTGCTTCTTAAGTTTTGCAAAGTTTTGGTGTTCAGCCTCATATAACAGCAAAAAGACCATTTCTTAAAAAACATAATATAAAGGAAAAGTTTAAATAGTGCCAACAAAATATTTAAAAAGTGGCTATGATTAGTGACATATAATTTTTTTTGACAAAATGTTTATCAAGCTTGATAAACAAACATGCCAAATTAGGATATAGCATCTCAAGATGAAAGACATAAAAATGAATACTTAATTCTGAGTTTTAAGAGTGGTAGATGGTTAGTAATAATGTAAGGTTGTTTTATTGATAGAATCAAGGGTCCTTTTGTTTTTTTTGATAAGTATAAATAATTAAAAAAAAAAATTAATAAAAAAATATATATTAAACTTTTAGAAGATTATTTACCATCATTTTATAAAAGAGCTAAAGTATCACATTCATTAGTAGGTACAAAAATAATATTTTAGCAAGACAATGTGCTGATATATAAAGTATCTAATTGGCTTGAAGACAAAAGAATCTCTAAATTAAACTGGTCTGCAAGATTTCCTGACCTTAATCTAATTAAAAATATTTAAAAAGTATTGAAGAATAATATTTAGAATTAAGAAGACTTTTTAAGAGAAATAAATAATCTTAAAATTACTTTAAAAAAAGAGTAATCAAAATTAGATATGTTAGTTTTTTTGGAGTTTGTAGACTCAGTTCCAGAAAGGATCAAAGCAGTATTAGAAGCAAAAGAAAAGCATTACAAATATTGATTAGCTAATAAAAAATATATATATAGTATATTGTAAAAATGAAAAAAATCATATATTTAAATTTTAATTTCATTTAATAAAAAAATCAGCTGTTACTTTTGCCGATAACTGTATATAAATGCTATGTATGTACATAATTAATTTGTAAAAAATTTTTTTATAATATTGTAATAAAAATTATTAATCAATAATAATCAAATAACCAATATTGATATTATATTTAGTTGAAAAAAATTTAGAAGTTATAAATTTGAACAGCTGCTAAACACTTAAATATTAGTAAATTTTCAATAAGTCAAGTTTTCAACTAATTTTAAAGATATAGATATATTGAAAAACTTCTACCACTTGTAAAAAATTACATATATTAAACCTGAATAATATAAAATATCTTAAAACTTTAATAAAAGAAAGCCTAAATAATATTTGTGTATAAGTTACAATTAGAAATAAAACTTTAATAAAAGTAAAAATTGTTTGAATTGTAGTTTTATATGAGTTTTAATTTACAAATTGATTAGCATCTTAGTACATACATATTAGGCTTTAGATTATCTTTATAAATAATGAATGTTATATTGATTATACTAAAATTAATAATTTATCAAATTGGCTAAATAATCATTAGTTAATTTTTTATAAAGTATTTCAGAAATAATAATAACAGTTATAAATTTTATATTTGCTGAAATTATTATCAAAATTTTTTGAACTCTTTTCATTAAGATATACTATATAAGTGCCACTAAAGAAAAACTTATTGAGCTTTTAATTATAGTTATTTTTGAATGTTTTATATAAAAATTAAGTAATGCAAAATGTTTACTGAAAATAAAATAATTTTGGAACACATGTATAAATAAATGTTCTCTAAACTTATCTAAACTGTTGCTTTCAAAACCCAAGTTAGCAAGATGTTCTTACAAAGTGTATTTGTTAAAACTTTTCTATAATCTG